GTACGAAATAAATTTCGAAATATACGTGGAAGTCAAGCGGTTTTCACGACGTGCGATATTACTTGGCGAATACCGAAGATAGGCTCTCTCGGAGTCTGCGTTCATTGTCTAATTTCCGAGGATCGTCAAGTTCATTATACCGCATGCAGGCGTGCTGCGAACGCGCGCGCGAGAGCGAGACGCCAATGCGCGCTAATCTTTTTTTCGCCGGGACCGGTTCCATCAGAGGAACACTTCCAGCTTTCTACCATCGCATCGGCGGCTCGACTCCCGTGTAACCCCGTCGGGTGCCAGCGTGCGGTTACACGCGAAGAAGCGGACAGTCGCGTCTGCGTTCCGCGCGCGGCAGCGCGATTCGAATTTATTTATTGCATTAGCCGGCCGTCGCTCACTCACGGCCCTTGATTGGTAGTACCAATCGGGTTCCCCTTTGCGAACGACGCAACACACGAGATGGCGGAGATAAGCCGGTTGTATAAAGGACGAAACCGTCATGTCAATACTCGTGCAAACGGCGTTGTAATTATTCTGATTAACGGCGATTCTCTCGGTCCTGCATTATCATGCAGGCATTATCAATGTATCGCTAATCATTACAACAAGGCTTACGGTAATATTCTGCCCACGACTGCCCATATGTACGCTATTGAGTTTATTCGCGTAAACACGATGTCGCATAAGTGTGTAAATCACACTATCGTATATAATTTAGGAAACGAGGCAATTTATATAACGCACTTTACACGGCGGAACAGGAGACGACATACGCTCCGCGTATTCATCTTATTTAATTATCAGATTTACATTACATCGGAATCAACACGTTCCACACCGTTCCATTTACACCGGAAGTTGTTTTCTACCGCATAGTTTCGCACGACGAATGCGCTTTCGTGTAACTCTCGGTTACATAAGCTGAAGTCCTGAAATTGGTAACCCTACACTATCATATAATTTAAATCGCCCCCAAAGGTCAGCAGATGCTGTATAAATTTGCAAAAACACCAAGCTTCGAAGGTCCCACTTAGAGCCATTCCCGGCGAGGAATTATTCAAGCTGGGCAAGGGTTAATTGCTGCCTTCATCAAAGCACCTCCCTTCCTCTTTCAAATGAGCCCTTGTCATTCGTGACATCACCGTTCTGTATTTAATCCGATTTTGTCACGGCGTCACGGCAATGCCTTATTGTGGACGAAGATTAGGATATAATCCGTTAAAATATAATCACGATTGTAATATAATGTGCGTCTTTTTTTATAAACATTTACTTATATTGATTATTCTGATTGAGAAAGATTCTACTGCTACTAATTAAAATTAACAAATAAGAGACAAATAATATACACGAGATAAAAATCAGATTTTAAGTTGAACACTTTTATTAATGATCTATCGCTTTGTAGCTTTCATGAAAAATAGTTTTATATATATATATATATATTCCGTTGCAGAGACAATTCACGTTGATCCTGCAAGCGAGAGATGAAGCGAGCGCCGGCGTGATCGAGGAAGCGAGTTACAGTGGCATCGTCCTGCCAGGACCCACGTGGCATACTCTCAATCATCAAGGGAGAAACGCTCACTTGGCGTATCGGGTGCGAGTCCAATGCGCCGATCATTATTATAATGCGACTTGTACCAAGTTTTGTCGACCTAGAAATGACATTTTTGGCCATTACACCTGCGACGAGAACGGGGACAAAGTGTGCATACAGGGATGGAAAGGCGTCGACTGCGAGACAGGTGAGTCCGAGTTGGATCACATTTTTTTTTAAACCTTATTGCGAAGCTAAATTCATCACAATTTTCTCTTTGAAATAATTTTCTTCGATAAATTTATAAATCATTTTTTTATTATCTTCAACGAAAATAATTCCTATTATTTTTTTTTTAAAACCGCGCAGGAATGCGCTGTAAGAAAGAGAAGCAAAGAATTTCCTCAGCATATTTCAGTATTAGCACCTCAGGTGTGCATCGACTTTAGAATGAATTATTGCTGATTAATCCCGCGTTTACCGCGTGCATAACCACGCATTACCATACGCGTTATTAATTATACCGGACACGGTATAACGCGTATGCAAAAAATGTCTGCGTAAACGTATTCCTTGACCCTTCTTTAAATCCTGTCATGGAAAATATTTCGCAGATAAATTACTTTTAAGTATTATGTGAAGTTTTGTATTATCGTATTTGACTTTCAATTCATTGCATCTTGTTTTTACAATACAAATGATAACGTCAGTCCTCTTGATGACGCGAGAAGGATACGTGTTTTATACAAAATCAAAAAGAACTCCAGCTAACGAACTCGCTTATAGAGTTTTCTTATCCAGAACATGTTTGTGGTAGATGCAAAGATACATCGCGCGAAACGCGATGGGGTACGATATATTCTCGCTTGTCATTGTTATCATCTCGTTACGCATAAAGGTATCTCCGACAATATCGATAGTATGCGATGCAGGCTGATTTTTTTGGGCCTTCTCTCGTGCACCGCCGGAGGAATAATTAATCGTTCATTGGAGCGTGAAATCTCGCGACAGGGCTTACCACTTATAAGTGTCGTTTAACTCGACATCTCGCACATGCTTGTTGTACCTTGGAACCTAACGAGGCTTACAGATTTGATTATACATTATTAATAATTATCGTATTAATGATCAGGTCATCTATTATGAAAGTTAAATCGTTTTCGAAAGAGACTAAAGTTCTATCTTTATCTAAGAAAATATCTCGCACCTGCTTTTATCAATATTACAAATTATAATTGTATATATATATATATTACTAAATTAAATAATATGAGTCTCTTTGAAGAACACTTAGATGATTCTTCTTTGGATATTTTTTTATCTAAGATCCGAGTAAGATCCAAGGAAGACGGATGCGGAAACACAGCGGCACAAAAAAGATGACGAGACAACCAGCGGCAGAACGGAAGGACGAATGAAACTCTGCCCTCCACGTTTCGCGATTCGTATCTTTATTTCTACCGTTTCGGATTCTCGTCCGTCTCCCGAAGAACGCGATTCCGTCACGTCCGCGATTTAGCGCGCGGGAATTAGCCGCGGCAAGTCGGAGGATGAGAGCGTCGCCGTGCGTGGTCCCGTACGGATCGTAAAACACGCGAATTATCCCGGAGCGTGCCTCAATGAGGCGGACGTTAGACGCATGTCGTACGATCGGCACAAAGGTAACGACACATCACGCCAGGTCCCATCGCACAATGCTGCCCCGACTAATATAACAGCTCTTTCTTCGCTGCTTAATCGTTACTTCCGCCTTGCCGCCGTGACCGCTCCGTGGTTACTGTCATCCCTTCCCTTTTGTGACGGGGCATAACGCACGCATAAGGTCGATCACAGGCGGACCGACGACGACTCGAGGAGACCCCGACCTCGCGTTGATGATTTGATGATTCCGACCGTTAGACAGATGCGTCGGTTCGCTTTTTTGCGTCCCCGGCATTTAAATCGTGCGACTCGTTTTTTTTTTTTCAAACAAGTTTGATTTTTTTGCACAATGTCGTGACACTAAAACAAAGTTCTATTCGGTGCTATAACGCGAGGTATGGATAAAGGATAAGGATAAAAATTTTATTATTAAATATATTTTTTAGCATTTTTTATTATAACAATTAACCGCGAGAAAATTGAGATCCCGTCACTCGCTATATTCAAATAATAATTTGCTTCCATAGTCATTTCTCAAGTTTGCGTACTTATGATACTATGTTAAAGGAATTCAAATAATATACGATTACTTTAACGACGCTGCTCGTTTTCCTTGGCACCGTGAACTTTGAGATTCTACTGTTTGATAATCACGATCATCTCGAGTTGCTACTCGAT